ACTTTCCAGGCTTCGTTACGAAAAGGATATGGCTTCTACATCCTCTTTTGGGATCTGGGTGTTGGACACTTGCTCTGGGAAAGCCATCTACCATGCTGTGAGGGAGCCCAAATTAGCCCAGGTGGAGAGGAACTGAGGCCCCAAACTGAAGGTTAGCCTCACTCTCCAGATATATGAATAAACTAGCCTTCAGATGCCTCCAGCCTCCAGGCCTCAAGTCTTGCAGCTAAGACCTCAGATGCGGAACAGAAATAAGTTTTCTCCACCAGGCCCTGTCTGAATTCCTGACCCATAGAATCTGTGAGCATAGTAGTTTTATGCCACTATATTTTGTGGTAATTTGTTAGGTAGCCACAGTAACTGGAACAGTCACCAAGCAAATCAAACGGTACCAAGCAGTGGATAGACTTTTTACCCCTCTCAGCACAGCTAGGCTTTTTTGGGGCCTGTGCTGGACTTTGCAGTTAAGAGCATCAAGATTGTCTATTCTCCCCATCCCTCCGAACAGTCTTCCTAGATTTTGCAAGTGTCCCATTTTCCCAATGACCCAGGCTTCCTCAGAATATCTGATTTCCCTTCCTTATATAGCCAACAAGTGACATCCATTGTCTTTTTCATAGTGCCTCACTAACTCATTCTTCCCATTCCTAACAGCCTGTGCTTGAACTTCAGGAGTTCATTATTATCTACAGAATAAAATGCAATGGAGTAGAAAAAGTTTACCAAAAATAGGCATAGTGCTTTCAGGTTTCATAGTAGAAAGGGGTAAAACTTAAAGCTTTCCAAGGACAAGTAATGATAATATTAATAGATATGATGTGGAAGTCCACTGTATTTTGAGAAAGATATCTCCCTCCTACTAGGGCAATGCAAACAGCAAGTCACTGGCTAGTCTCAGGATTATATCTAGTCCCTGAATCGACTTTGCTCTGTGTTTAGTCAAAGCTCTTTTCTTTCCTCCTCTTAACTATACCCCTGGCTACAAATCTAAATTTGGTTTACAAAAATTCAGAAGTATTAGAAGTTATTCTAATGTTGAGTGTTGAATGAATCCCTTAGTTCTGCTTTCTACAGAAATATTCATTCAACAGCCTACATCCTTTTCTTTATCCTGACCAAAACAGCATTTGTAGGGAGAGTTTATGATGAGTTAAATTTAAGAACCTGAGTATAACCTATAGGGTCGGCTCAGCATCTTGTCTTAAACACATGAAATATATGCAATTTTCCTCGGGTAAGGACCCAGTTATCGCCATAATTTATTTTTAGAGCTACATTAGAGGAAATCAGGTACTGACACAGTTTGCATAAGGATTATTTCAGGTCCTATTTAGAACTCGGGTACGTAATGTGTACTAGTTGCTGCAGATACCATTAAGAAATAACTTTGCTATGAGAGCAAGAGGACAATTGTATCCTCTGAAATCTGACATTATCATTGTTTCTTAAATGACTTTTTTGAGAGTAAATCTTTAAAAACAAAAAAAAAGAGGAAGAAGAAAGAAAAAGAGGGAGTCAGTTACCTGTCATTCATTTATTTAAAAAATATTTATTAAGCACTTAACTACGTGTCAGGAACTATTCTAGGTGCCAAGTACATGGCAGACAAAAATCCTTGCCCTCAAGGAATTTGAATTTTCGAGGCGGAGAGAATAAGATAATAAAATCAGTAAAGTAAAATGTGTTAGACTGTTATGCATGTTAGAATTTTAATCACAGGACCATGTTTAGAAAATGCTATAAAGTGAAATAAAGCTGGAAAGAGTAATAGTGCTGGGTTGGGCCTGAGGGGGTTAAATTTTCGAGATTGAGAAGGTCTCAGAAGGTAACATTTGAGTAGATAAGGAAGGTGAGGGATTTAAATTTCTGAGGGAAGATGGACCAGGCCAGTAGTTTCAAAAAGTACAAAGGTCCTGAAGTGCAGAGTATACCTTGCTGTTGGAGCAATGCAAGGAGGCAGAGGGACTGGAACAGAGGGAATGAAAGGTAGACAGGCAGGTCTAGTTGGGCCTTGTAGGGCATTTCTGTGATTGGAGTTTTTAGTTTAAGTACAAAAGAAGCCGGGGTTTTGAGCAGAGGAGTGATGATGGTCTGATAACTTAACAGGGTCATTTTGACTGCTGCGTTGAGGACAGTTTGAAGAGAGCAAATAATGGAAGCAAAGAGACCAGTTATGTAGGAGAGATGGAAGTGGCTTGACCAGGTGGTAGCAGTGGACAAATTCTAGTATAATTTGAAGATAGAGCAAACAGGATTTGCTGACAAATACGGGGCGGGAGTGAAAGAAGAGATAAAGATTACTTCAAGGTTTCAGTTTGAGCAACTGAAAGACGAGTTGTACTTAGATGGGAAGACTCCTCAGGATGTGTTAAATCTGAGATGCTTTTCAAGTGGAGATGTCACAAAGTAGTTGAATATACATACAGGTCTGGCATTTAGGATAGAGGTCTGAGCTGGAGAAGCTGGGAGAGATCAGCACATAGCAATATTTAGAACTAGAAGACTGGATGAGGTCGCCGAGAGTGTGAGCATAGATAGGAGGGAAGAGTTCTAAGGACTGAATCGTCAGGCACTCCAATATTAGGATGTCAGGGAGAAGGTGGCCCTGGCAAAGGAGACCGAGGAGTGGACAGTAAAGCAGGAGGCAAATTAAGAAGGCACAATGTTCTAAAAGCCAAGTGTAGGTGTTCTAAGCGGGGAGGTGGAGAAGGGGATGATGTTGTGGTGTTGCTTATGGGTCTAGGTAAGGTATTAAAAGAACTAACCACTTGTATTTAACATTACAGGGTCTTTGGAGAACTTGAGTAAAGCGATTCCAGTGGAGTGATAGGAGCAAGTGATTGGAGTCAGTTCAGGAGAAAATTAGGAGAGAGGGATTGGAGACAGCAAATACGGACTTTTTGTTTTAAAGATAGAAGTATATTTTATGTTGCAAGAAAGATCTTTGCTTTCCAGTGACAGACCTAGCCTTCTCACCCACACTCCCTTCTTTGGACTTCAGATGTGGATATTTGCTGTTTCTTGGGACCCTCACTTCGAGAGTGTTAATAGGAAATCTGAACTGATACGGAGCTGAGGATTATGAAAATCAACTTATTTTATATGTGGAATTCTTCTTTTCCCCCAAACTGCTGGTTCTCACTACTCTGGGGCAATATAACATATTTTAGATGTGGCCAAGAGTCCTTAGGCTTAGAGGAATTGCATCGTTCTTGCTATTATTTGGATTGTTCTTCATACTTGTAATTTGGTGCTCTGTCTCAGCCCTACTGACAAACCCTTTCCTCTACTTCTGTATGATGATGGGTCCTTTACTGATTCTTTGGAACTCCCACTTCAAAGGAATGACAATGACCAAAGAAGTCTGAAAAACTTAATATGAAACCTTTGGTGGTGACCAGGCTGTTCACAAATGTTTCTCCCATTCTGGGCATGTTAGGAGTGCCACTCTCAAATATGGCCATGTGACTTGCCCTACTTAGTGAAATGTAACCTAAGTGATGTCTGTCACTTCCCAGCAGAAGCTTTAATGACCAGTGCACAGTCTGTCACATTTTCTTGGCTGTCAGCAATTGTGGAGATGCCTCTATCAGCCAGAGTCTGAATCATAGCAATAAGCAGAGACCCCTTGCTAATCCTGGAGAGACATCTAGTGTGAGAAATAAACTTTAATTTTATTAGCTTCATCTTGGGATGGCAAAACCCAGTCTATCTTGACTGACACAATACCTAAGGACAAAAATAAACAGTGGTGTTCCAGCTCCACTATAACCAATGGATTACAAATTTTAGGATACAAAGATTTTACTTTCCTATGCCGGGGCAGGCAAAAAAAACAAAACAAACAAAAAAACTCAATCAACAACACAGGTAATAAAACTTTACCTCACTGTCAGTTCTCCATTAAATACAAAACTATCAAACCTTTAAAATGTTAACATTAAAAATATATGTTTCTCTTAACCAGGAGAACTTTTCTTTGACAGCTGGACTACCAAAAACATAGGTTAGTGTATTTCAAACTTTGTTCTCTAGCTCATCTGCATTAGGTCCTCCAGGGCTGGTCATTATAAATGCAGAGTCCCTAGTCTTGTCCTCTTACAAGAGGACTGTGGTTCTTGACTCCTAGGAGGTTCCGTAGTCTTTATCTTTATTTGTATGTGTGGCATAATACAAAAATATATTTGGCTTTTGTCCTTACTTCCTGCTATAGAGCTGCTAAAACTCTTGGAATTTCCTGAGTGATAGAAGTGTATTTTGCTATTCATCACGAGCCCCTGAGTTTATGCTAATGAGGTCACTTAGGGTGGGGTTCCTAGACAGTCTTAGGATGGAGCTGGTCAACAGAAAGACCAAGTGATTAGACTTCCTGACCAGCCTCCAGGAAATGGGTGGGGGAAGGTGCTAGAAATTGAGCTCTATAAACTCCTGAACAGATTCAGAGAGCTTCTGGGTTGGTAAACACATCGAAATGCTGGGCAGATGGCATGGCTCTGCCTCCATCCCTCCCCTTCCTTGCCTGATGCATCTCTTCCATTTGGTTGTTCTTGAGTTATACCCTTTATAAACTTAACTCATCCTAATAAACAGGCAAATGGAAGTACGGGTTTTCTTGAGTTCTGTGAGCCACTCTAGCAAATTATTGACCTTAAAAGGGAAGGGAGTCATGCGAACTCTCCAATTTTATAGCCACGTTGGATAGAAGTGTGGGTAATACTTGCAGCTGGCATCTGAGTGAGGGCAGTCTTGTGGGACTCCCTTAAACCTGTGGAGTCTGATAATAATTCTGGGTAGTTAGTGTCAGAATTGGATAAAACTGTAGGACATCTAGTTGGTGTCCAGAGAATCAGAGAATTGGTTGTTGGTATTGGAAAACACCCTAGAAATATGTTACCAACAAAACACTGAAGTTCATTTTCAACATAATATCTCATTGAGTTTACCTATGCTTCAGTATTAGAGAAGAGATGTTAGTGTAAGAGACAAATCACAATTCTGCATAAAAGAATTTTATTTAGTGGTCAGATCCCAATGAATAACGCCAGTCATTGCTTGATTCTGCTAAAATGTGCTATTAGATATGCTCTTAAGAAAGTGTATAGTGCATCACCAAAAGCTGTTTAATTTGGATTGTGTAAAGTAAAAGAAAATTTCATAAATCTCTGTCTGTCCTCTGATAAAAACTTTAAAATATAAAAATGAAAAAAAAAATCCAAAAGCAGTATTCCAAAATAATAAATGTCACCTTGGATTATTTACAATTAAGATGCCTTTTAATAGAATACTCTCTGCTTGATTTTTTTCCCCACATTTTACTTAACATTTATAAGTATTCTCACTCCTCTATCTGACCCTTATTCATGATTTCTTCTATTCTTGTCTTCCTTGAAATAGTCATCTTCTATTCTCTCACTCATCTTTGAGTCTTTCTCTGATACTCCTTTTGCCTACCCTTAAATCACCAATAATTCTGTTCAACAGCGTTTGTTGAGCACCTATGATGTGCTAGGCACTGTGCTAGGAGGTGGAGATAAATACGGAGATAAAAAGTCATTGATACCTGCCCCTAAAGAAGCTGAGTTTAGGTTGAATTAAAAAATAATGTTTTTTCACATTATATTCCATGAAATCCCAGTCCCCTGTAAAGTAAATCTGGAATTTCTTGAAACACAGTGTACGCACAAAGGGTCTGTCAAATGACCTACTCCAACACATGTTGAATTTGGAATTCGGTTCTTTTCTGTGAAGCATAGCCTCAAAAGCCCGGGCCTACAGTTTGAGTTCTAAACTCTTAGCAGGTGGGAACTATGTGTTAGGCAGTAGGGGACAGCTGTACCAATTTGTTTTTTGGGGAGGGTAATCTTTTGATTGGCTTCTAAAAATTCCAAATATGAAAAGCCCTTAACCTCTCCCAAAATACTAAATTTGAGCTACAGACATATATTAAGAAACTCTCCCCTGATTTGGACTTGTAACAAGATGCTCTAAAACTCCTATATTTTATAAATGTCAAGCAGGAGCTCTTTTTACTACCTCCACATGTTTCTTTGTGCTTTTTCTGTGAACATGTAGCTTCAGACATAAAAGCAGCAAATTAAGCCTGCAGGTCACCTTTTTTTCTCTTTTATCATGGTTGAACTCAAAACAAGCTCATCTCTCGCATGTGGCCTACATCTTCTTTGTCCATGAAGCCTCGAGAGACCCTTGGTAGTTACTTCAAAAAAGGCAAGCCATGAAACATCACATGAAAGCTATACATAGCATACTATAAAAGCAAAAACGAAACGACACCCTTGCTGCCCCATCTGTTCCATGCCTGGTAGGCCAGGTCCCTACAAATACTCACATTTGGAAATATTTCTGTCACGGTAAAGTCCAAACCATGGTGGTGGGCTCCAACTCTCACAGTTTGTAGCATATTCTTTTCACTGAATCCTCACAGCCAACCACTGAACAATGATGGAGTTTTTGTGGAAAAGTCCTATCCTTGATCCCTTACCTTTCTACAGGTTACACAGGGTCACATTATACAGTTTCTGTCCGATTAGATGATACTCTATACATTCAAGAGTATTAGTGCCAGATTCAGAACTTCCTCGTGAGCTGCTTCCAAGCCCTTTGGATCTGAAGGCACCTTTGGGAGTTGGCATTATTCCCATGTGACATTTAGCCTGCCCTACCCTATGGCAGGATGATCACGATGTCTGAAATATGCAAAGAGCATGGGAAGAGCAGGGAGTATTGTGGGAGGGAAAAGAGGTGATCGTGCACAAGCTTTTTGCTCTGTCGTGCATATATTTTCAGTGTAACAGGGTGTATTTCGACACATTAGGGCTTGTGCTTTTATGTTAAAAGAAATAACTCACCCTGAAAAGCTCATTTGGCAAATGTGGCCATGAACGTGTGTGTGTGTGTCTGTAAAATGTGTCATGAGGTTATATGTCAAGTCCTATGAGTGTGTCCTCCTGGCCCCTCCTTCACTGTCACACCCACCTCCCCAGTGAGGAAAAACTGATGGGTTACACCTGGTCAGTTTGATATTCGGAAGCTTCAGACAGGCTTTCTGAGAAGCTTAGAAAATTCTCCTGGTACTCAGAACAAACAATCTCGTAACGGTAATGCCGGAACTCCACAGCAAACGTGCCAAAGTATGACAGGAAGCACATGACCAGGCCCCACTGGACCCTGGCTGCATACATGTGGATGCCTTGGGCCATGAGGATGAAGTCTGGGGAGGAGCAGTCAAGGAAAGAATGGGCTCTCTTCTGGGCAGACAGGTTATAGGAAAAGTCTGGCTCTTCCCCTCACTAGATAACATTATCTAACTCTTACATTGTTCCAGACATGCTTCTAGCTGCTTTCACAGAAAATATATCTTAATCTTCATGACAGTCCTATTATCATTATCGGTTCATTTAAAAATAGGGAAACTGAAGCCAAATAGATAAGCAACTTGTCTGCGGTCACACAGGTATTAACTGATGGAACTGGGATTCAAACACAAGCACTCTGTCCCAAGCCATACACTCAACCACTCTACAGCCACCTAATAAACTGTGAGATTAGCAAGAGAATTACAATTCCAAAGTAAGTAGTTGGCCAGAAAAATAAAGTTATCTTTTAAAAAACACTGCAAATGACTATGGAGTCATAGTCATCACTCTATCCTCAGAAACAATTTTGAACATATCAACTTGCTAACGACCTCCATATAAGCTGCATTTGTCTCTGCAGTGCTACCAATAATATCTTAAGTGGTCTCTCTTCCACTTCGGTCTAGTTTTCAATACTGTCTTTCAGACAATACTTCACAGGCTAGTTTCATTCTTGGTGTCACATTTAAAATTGTGCCCAAATGAAAAAATGCATTAAAAAAAAAAACAGATAAGACTCCTATGCCTGAATATACGTGTAGTGTGTGTGTTGAGAAAGGTTTACGGCATGCTTCAGTGAAAAGACCAAGAGGCCAAGGACTAAATACACTTATTCAGAAAAATCAGAAATGCCCCCTATCTTCAGAACATAGATTTAAAATGTTCTATCTTCAGAACATAGATTTAAAATCTTGGGAAATTTTCAGAGTATGTGAAACTATTTCAGCCAAACTTTGCTCTCTGGACTAGGCCTGGATCCATTCACCTGAGAACCAAGAAATGGTTCCAAGCGTTCAGAAGTAAAATGGCAGAATTGTTTGGTATAAGCTCAAAGCTCGGAACAATTTAAAGTCTGTACATACTCTTCTGACTGAGGGTTCGAAATACTGCCAAAGCAATATTATCACTTAAGATAATGGGGAAGGGATGAATCTTTAAATCTCACACTGGCAGAATTTTGACCTTTTCACTCATCAAATATTTTATCAGTTTGCTAGCAATGAGAAATTTTTTTGGCTTGATTTTCAAGTCCTAAAGTGTGACTGCGGAACTTGAAAAAAAACCCCAATAAAATGATTGCATGGCAGTTGTGAGGGAAGAAGAAATAACAGACTCCAAATACTTTACTAACTAGAGACTATCTCTGAGCGCCAAGTCTTTTCATATTTTAAAGCCACGTTCTCTACAGAAAGACCATGTATGGTTAAAAGTGCAAGAACTGAGCCTGAGTTTAAATCAAGATCACATACTGTGTGCGATATGGGGCAAATTAACCTCTGTGCTTCTCTATTCTTACCTAAGGAAGCTGACACATCTAAAGTGCTTAGGATAATGCCTCGCACATGTAAGTGCCCCATAAATACCGGCTATTACATGACTGAAGATGTGTGATTGTGTTAGCTATGTAGTCTACCATCTAGGGACATGATCTCCTCTGGTTTCCTGAGGACCTACAAGAGTGACCATTTATGATCGCTCTGTCCAATGGAACAAATGAGCAATCTGATTAGTGGGACTGGAACTGGCTGGCTTCCATGGGGCCATGCCACCAGCAGGCGGAGTCCCTGCGCTCCATCTTAGACTACCCTCTCTGCGATATCTGAAGGGGAAAGCTCAGCGAAGCGCTCTCCTCTTCCTTTCCCTGGTTTCTTTACTTGCTACTGAGTGGGTAAGTTTAATTCCAGGGTGTGAGATAGGACGCCCGTGGCATTTTCCTTTCCAAATTTAGCAGGAATAAAAGCTGATTTCTTCATCCCCATGTGGTTCCTTGTTCTCCACTGGTTTAAACTCGAGGGAGGAAGGGAAATAAGAGCACTTTGAACCCTCAAAAATATTTGTTTAGGACAATTATATATGCAGCAGTACCTAATTGTTGAATTTGTTTTCCAGAAAAGCTTATTTTCTTGAGTTATAAATGTATTTGTCCCTTGAAATTCATTTTAGAGTTAATAAATTAAATGAAATAATAGGATGATTAATAAAGTCACAAATGAATATTTTTTTAAGATGGAGGGAAAAATCATAATTCTCTTCGTTATGCATTGCACATGTGCTTCATAAAGGGGAACTTTTACATTATTAGTGATTAGGAGAATGCATGACATCATTTCAACAACTGAAACAATCTTGAGAAGGCAGAGCTTATTTTATTTTTAGTTCTCCATCTTCTCTTTGGCATGAAAAATAAGTCTGAGAGTTTTTGTTTTTATACCGATTTACTTTTCTGTTTTGTCTAAGATCTGGAGATGGTCTGACACTATCCTAACTAATTGAGAAATGGCAATTTTCTCATCTTCTATATAGATAAGTTATCTGTGTTTTAATTTCACTGGTAAAGAACCCGTTCACATTCAAAGGATACAGAGGACTACACAGAGAGTGACAGATGCCGAGAGAATAACTCGTGGAATTCCAACTTTCCGTCCTTCATTCTTGATGTTGACTTTGAGTGTCAATGCAGCCTGGATCCAGCAGGTCAAGGTGCCAAATCCAAATGTCAAGGAGGTTCCAACATTATGGATTTCTTCATCATTTGTGAGCTAAGGGATGAACAGATAATGACGTGTGGAGGCCCATTTAGAAAAGACATAAAAGCCAATGGAGTATGTGAGGGAGAAAAATAGGTCAAAAAACAGATATTCCAATAATGGAATGATAGATTTTAGAAAGATTAGCCCTTCATCTCCATTGGCTTCTTGTGTCAGTTTTCAGTTGGTTTGAACTCTGAGGGGAAGAAGGGAAATAAAGAGTACCCCCAAACCTCAAAACAGTTGTTTAGAAAAGCCATACGGGCAATAGTAATCTATTCCTTGAATTTATTTTCCAGAAAAGCTTTGTGGAAAAGTAAAAGAAAAACAAACAAACAAACAGCTAGGAAAGTTACACAAAAAAATGTCAAAGATTCTACAACCATACACTCCAAATTTTACTTTTCAGACTAAGATGAGACCTGGGATCTGGCTGTGTATTTACTGATTGAGGAGGACAAATTTTAAGCAGGTTAAGATTTTATTGGCATAGACAACTAATAAAACTGTTCTTTACTCCTATAAAACTGGCCCGTCTCTGTAATGTGACCAATTCATTGTTAATGAGATTTTGTTTTGTTTTCCTATTATAATAAAACTGCCACCTATGAGCTTTTGCCGTATCTGTAGACCCATTAGAAGTGTTTGAAGATTTCTGGTCAAAGTGTTTAGAGAGTGAATGAGTCAAAGGAGACCCATCTGGGTTATTTCAATTGGGGGTTGGAAATGTAAACGCCCCCAAATCATTACCCACCGATTTAAAAAAAATTGTCACTTAAAACACCTTCAGTAATTACACATATTTTAAAATACCAATATAGGAAAATAAAATCTATTTTGAAGAGATGGCTTTTAAAACACGGTGAAAATATATTTTTTGAATTGCCATTGTCTTCAGATGTTTTATTGTCATTGTTATGAACAATGGTTGTATGAAATCAATATTACTTTCCTTTTACAATTTGCTCTGTTTTTTACTGTGAGATTCCCACGTCTTCTCTGGAAGAAGAGTGCCAGACACAGTACCACTAATCCTCACGTTTTCCTCTCATAGTTCAAAAGACATATTTTCAAAGCTTATTTTAAATAATGATTCCTCAAATCAAATTTTACTTCTAGGAAACTGGTTTTCTAAACCCTATTCATTTATTATTTTTAACCTAATTAAAAACATATATAATAAGTTACATGGTTCAAACTTATAAAAACTATAAAAGGAGTATACAGATTGGAAAGTCTGTCTGCCATGCCAGATACTAGCCACCTGGTTTCTCCACAGGCAACTAATTTGTTATTTGTTTCTTGTATATTCTCTGTAGATATTCCAGAAAATGTCCTTCAGATGTCATCATTCACGGCTTCGACTATTTGTGGTTCACCAAAGTGACCCAATCTCTGGGTTTCTCTTGGGACTTTAGTAAAGAGCACAGTGCCTACTTAGTGACTTCCATCCAAGTCTGAGAAGAGAGAAATGATAGTTATTGAGTACTTTACGACATGCCAGCACCTGTAGCACAGACAGGTGAGGGAAAGACTCCCACCAAAATCTCAATAAAAATGCTCAACGCCCTAACATTTTGGAGTTTAACAGGCTAAACTCTCAAATATTCTGATAATTCACTGTCCTAGCCAATATGATCTATGAATGCAGCTTCCTTGCCATCTATATGGGATGAGACCTAGAATAGTTAGAGGAATTGGTGGGATTGCCTCTGTCAAACAACCCATCAAGTCAAAAATGCTTACTGAATTGCTACTCTGTACCAGGGAAAGTGTTGGGGAATGAGTTAGCCTGGTTTTATGCATTATCAGGACTGAGGGTTAGGACAAGAGACAGTCTTAGAAAATCTACTACCATATTTTCTCGAATGTCTATACCATTTGGATTTTACTCAACAGAAGGAAGAGAGGTGTCAGGATCAGTGTTTGATTATAAGAAGGAAGTTTCTAGCAGCAGTGTGTAGCATAGTTTAGAGGATGCTGGGGAAGGGAAGGAGGCAGGGACATCAGACAAATACTGTAACAGTGCAGGGGTCTCCTTGTCTATTTTACAAATGAAGTCATTCAGGTCTAGAGTTGAGTGATGGTATTGGCAAGAGAAATTATGCTTAAATGTTGTGACCTCAGGCTTCTAAATCTCTGGGAAGAAGAGTCAGTATTAGTATATCTTTACACAAGTCATGGTGTTCCAGAGAAGTTCTGGATTTTCATACTTAACTCCCATGTGAGCTTGCTACTCTGAAATGCAAGCTTTCATCCAGAAAAAATGTTTAATTATAGTAAGGCCATAATGATCCTATTAGGATTCTAGAAAGGAACATTAGGATACAAGTTATTAGGAAAAAAGTATGAAGCACTTTGAAATCCTTTGCAGAAAATATACAGCTGTTTTGGTAGCTACTTTTCCTAATAACCATGCTGTAATTCTAATGCCTAGTAAACACCGTCATGTATGTAAGGCAAACGTAGGTAGACCAGGCTGAGAGACCATAAGGGCTGATGCCTGGAGAACCTGTGCATATTAGGAACCACTATTAGCAGTTGCTTTTAAGATTTAAGCAGAATTATATGGGTCATACAGTGACTATCTCTCAGTGGTTATGATAATATATAGGTAAAGTGTGAGATGGAGGTGAAAAAGGCCAAATGAAGTACCTGAAAATTACCAAGTAAGGTCATTCCAAAGGAAGCCAGACACAGTGCAACCAATCCACTAATATTCAGCCAAGGATTTAAAACCTTTGGTTTCAGTTGTATGAAGCGCAGAACAGCTACCACAAGAGCTGGGGATAAAACAAAATGTTACAGTTAAAAAATTGAAATCATATATCCAGACTATAAGGCAGAGTTCTAAAGCCACAATGTACAAAATCAAACTTTTCACCACAGTGCATTTTTAAATCTCTGAAATGACAATTTTAAAAAGAAAATTTCCATGCGATGCTTATGATTATTTAGATGTTTTATTACATCTAACCTGGGGGGAAGCAGAGCAGAGTTGAAGCAGCAGTGCTGTATGTTATTTGGGTGATGCAAGGATGATAGAACAACAGTTAATAGAGTTGTCCTCAAAGAGTTTTCAAAAACCAGGTCAGCACAGGGCAGACTAGCTTAGGAGAACACGGCAGAGGCTTGACACACAACAAATAAAATAGGGATAAAGACAGTCCATGGCATGGAAATTCACCGGTTCAATCATCCTTTAGCTTAGAACAGTGTTAGAACAGAGAGGGCAGGAAAACACAGGGGAGACGACAAGGTTCCACATCTAGACAAACCTGCTGGTCCCTGTGCCAGAAATCATTCCTGGGGATAGGAAGGAAGATAAAGGCAAGTGTACAAATCCCTTTATTACTGGTTCATACCCACTTCCCTCAGATTCCACCTGGAAGGTGTGTTCTTATCAAAGGACAATGATAATTAATTCAAATTAGAGCACTTACAATGACCAAATTATGAAATCTGGATTTTTAACAGCAGATTTTGGGGTCTGGTGTATATTAAAAATTAAGCTAATTATATTAAGGAAGCTCAATTCTTCCAAATGATGTTAATTACTTATTTTAAAAGAACCACTCTATCTTTTGAAGCAAATTGTTGTCAGAGAACCTGACGAGAGAGTGAAGTTACCTAGATTTCAAACCTGACTTCTAACGGTAACCTTGAGGATAGTCCATATGCAAGCCACTAACCTGAGAATCCCCTTTTATTAACTGCCTAGTCTAGGGATAGTTTCATATTTATACAAAGAGCTGAGCAAGTTGGTTTACAAATGACAAAAAAGGCACTTGCAATTAATATAAACTATATCTACATAAAAGGAAATGCACTTATACTACTTCCTAAGACAATTTATTTTGACATTCAGGTTTAACGGAGAAGACAATTAGAAATTCAAAAATTACCCTATTTATACAGCAATTAAAAGCAAGTAATTATTTGCTAAAGGTTTTACCTTGATCACAGGCCATTATTACTAACCATTAATAAAGAAAACCCAACCATAAATTTGCATTTCCCAAGTATGCTGAATTTCATAGTTTCAAGCTATGAAACTAATAAGCTCAGTGAGTTGACATCCAGTTCCAAGTACCTCTGTTCAAAGAGTGATATACAACTTGGTGAAAATTTAAATTTTGGAGACGAAAGAGAAATAAATCATAACATACAAAATTGCAAGTTGTTCAGTTCAAATTTAGCTTTTGGTATATTTAGGTTTCAGCTAATGCCCACTACTGATCATAAAATTAATAAATTATACTTGAGTTGACAAGAGTTTCCCAAACTACTGGTCTGAGGAACTTAGGAGATATAGTATATCAGAAGTCCATTAATAATGACAATAACTACCCTAAAGGATGAAAAAATCAGCACAACTTATTAGTTTTTAGGATGGGAATAGGGGAGGAAGTGGGGAGAGAAGAAAGTCAATATAAGCATTCTATTCAAAGTGACCATCAGATAAAGAAGCCAGTAGATTAAAACCAGAAACCTCAACACAGGGCACCATGGGAGACATGTGCTAACTAACTGTGTATGGACATTAGTCAGGGCATAATAACAAAATACCAAGACAGCATATTTCATTTCTTCTAAAAATGACTAGTGAAAAGTATTACTCTGGGAGCTCTCTGGTTGTCACGTAGTTTAGAGGGATAGGATCCTGCTGGAACCTCGACCTAAGCTCTGAACTGCTGCTGAAGCAGACACTGAAATGGCTCTTGATGTCAGTTTGTTCCATTTGCCCAGGAGGAGAGAGTCAGTTGATGGTCACTCTCTGCATTACCTATTTCTCTCCAATAAAAATGGGACACGTATCATTCTCTTTGTCCTAGTATTGCTAGCCTTCCCATTTGTAATAGCGATGATAAAAATCATTTTATCATGAGCAGATGATGAAATTAAGCAGGTAGCAAATCTACTTGATGAAAGAAATTCAACCAAACACTCTGAACTTCCAGAATTACATTCGAAACACTACACTTTGCCCTTTAACCTATTAACTTCATTATTAATCAGCTCAGACTAGGCATACTTTCCTTTCAAAATAGATTCTAGTTGAATTTTTAGGGTGGTGGAAATAGTAAAGATTTTGGTCCTTTAACAGTTTTGTTAGAAGTAGGTTTAAATAGAGGCAGATTCAGACTATCTGTTATAAAGTCCATTTTCAACCAAGCAGTGGTTTAATTATATGTCCCTGAAAAAGACTTCCAGGTAGTAGGGCAGACTCAAAGCCATCTTTATATATGCTAATCAATTTTTATCACGTTAATGTTTTGATCCATAGATATAACTTTTAGTTTCACTAAAAATTTTAGATTTTATTAACAGTTTTAGAAAACCTTTTTAAAAATTACCTTTGTTTTTGGTATGTAGAATAGTTCTTTTGCTCTATAGGTATCCCTTTTTAATTTATCTATTTTAAGAGAACACAAATATTAAAACAATTGCTTATTGCTTTAATACATTTTTTACTTTGAGGCTGACTTGGTTTTTAGAGTTCAAACTCAAAAAAAAAATAAATAAATAACAGCTCTTAATTGCAGTTCTAAACTGGTGCCTGGCCAAATTCCTTTTGTTTAGTTTAGTTTTATTGTTTATGCATCAATAATTCCTATTTATGACTGCAGTAGAACACGACAATCAATATGTTTTGGCTGAAGGAGGGAGAATGGCTGCTATTAGGGGACTGAAATCATTCAGCTATTAGCTTTGTCCTCGCCATCACCCGGGGCAAAAAATAACATTCCCTTAAAAAATTTGTCTTAGGTCTTTGCCCCATCTCCCCAGGAGAAATAAAGTGTTGACTCTGGACAAAGAGCATAACTAATTCTGTAAAGAGAATAATTGAGCATTCAATTTTTGATTAGTGCATCAGAAAGATAAAAGGTCTTTGGTAATTAATTTTAATAAATGCTATCCAAACTCATTTATAGACTTAAATTATATTCTATACATAGCTGTCAAAAAGCAGTGACTTATAGGCAGTGCAGGTTGTTTCTGAAAGTCAGTTATGTCATCTAAAGTAAGAGTCTGAGGGGGAAAAAAAATAAATAAATAAAGTAAGAGTCTGAGGCTGGACAGGACAGGCCTGGGGAGATGAAAGCATCCACGGTTCAGAGCGAGAATCATTAGTAAACTAACTTTCCTTGCAGAGTAGACAAATAATTACTCCCACTGAACACTAATCTTAATCAGTTTTGTGTCCACCAGATGGCACCAAAAATGATGAAAGATGATAATCAACACTGGATGCTGCAGTATTTTAGAGCAGGAAAGCTAATAAAAACTTAATTGCTTCTTGGTGGAGCAGGGAAGGACAGGAGTGTAAAATGATGACAAGCGTCGTCTGGAAGAGGGGAACTTGTTTTCATTTGTTTGGGGAAATGTTTTTATAATTAATTAATCATCAGCTCTATAACTGGATAGATTTGTGAGCTGTGCAAACTGGTATTTTTTAGATTATACCCTAAAGACTACTTGGAAATACTGATTTTTTCTTAAGGATATGAAGGAAACAGTATGTGGCTTCCAACATGTTCATTGGTTTCTTTAAAGCCCAATGGAGGGCAGATAGCTCGTGACGGCTTTTTTATAAAAAGGGCAGTCTCCTCTGTATTGTGATTAGATGGGGTAGCGTTTGCAAAGCTCTTAGCAGTGTGCCTGGAATATAAATGACTGTCATTAATTATTGTTATTATTGCGCCTGAGGGGATGATCGTATGAGTAGGTATCAACCTGCAGGCCTATGTGGTGTGATTGCAGAGGGGCTGGGGATGGTCTCTGACCCTGCAATTTAAGATTCACTCTCGGGACTTTGTGCTCTATTAAATGAAAATATCTCCTTAGCAGTCATTTATGCCTTGGTATGAATAAGTTTATTAGATCTTTTCAGAAAAGTCGTGTCAAGAGTAGAAAAAAAGCTCAAGTATAAAGCTCCTGGCAGCTCTGAGGGTGAAGGCCGTGAAGATAAAACCTGAGTGACTAGGACTGGCTCTGCTGCCCACATGTGCACCAGCTGCCGAAAGTACTACCTTTCTCAGAATTTGGGAATATCTGGGACATGAAAACACTGCCTGCCAGGGGCATGAAGAGAAGAGCTTCGTTAAAGAGTCAGCAACTCCAGCATCAGGGTATATCGAACCTGCTCTTTAGTGCTAGCGTAGCAGTCCATTCCTTCCAGAAACTTCCTGCTTAGGTGAATTGGAATATGCTTTGAGGAAGCTTGGGTAAGGAAAGGTTAGCTCCAGGGAACAATCTTACTAACTATAGAGAAGTCCCCAGTGTGCTTCTCTTAGAGGCCTCTTGGGCCTCACAAGGAGTGTTCTCTGTTTCTCACTTTTTGAGCCTTCTGAACCAACTAAGACTCTGCCTGTGTTACATGCTGGACCAACCATCTCCCTTGATTTTCTAGTGAGGTTTCAGGTCTTCCCTTTTCTTATAGGAAACATTTAAAAATAAGAGTGAATAGAAACTGTGTGTGTGTGGTGGGGGGCGGAAAGAATTATACATAGATGAAATAACAGGTCTCCTCTTGGGAGGACAGATGCTATGAAAACCATTTACTCTCTCAGTAATAACATTGTCTTTATCTCTTACTTTATCTCTCACTTCCAGAAAACCACTGCTGAAATAATTAGTTGTCACTGGCCAGTTCCCCACAGCATGGCAACAATGATAGTTGGTTGACCTTCTGAAAGTCAATGGGGAGGCCTGGCCTTGAGGAGATGGTACAGCAGGCCGACTGGAAAAGGATAGAGAGCATGGCTGGTTCCCGTGATCCCTGGAGGACCACCAGGTCATGGAGGCACTCACAGAATAAAGGGCACAGGATATTAAATAAGGGCCTTGGGCCCTGAAGAAAAAGTGGGGAATTTAGGGCCAAACATGAGTATGAAAGTTCTTTAATGGTTTTTTTTTAACCTATATCTCTACTTGCCAGCTTGATACGTGCGTTGGCACAGGGGAGAGTGTCACCCTAATGCTAATGCTGACCTTTAGATTTAAAAATGATATCCACACACATCAACAGTTATCACAGAACCCATGCATTTTTTCATCTTTTCCACTGAAGGAAAAAATAAGGCTTTCTTTTTAAGGCAAACATATTGTACAATATTATATTCTCAAGCTGGGTTTTATGGTATGTGATGTATATTATTTTGTGCAGCAAAAGAAATAAAGTTAAGAATACACTGAAATGATAAAGATGGTAAAAGGAAGACAAATTGTGAGGTAAGCAGGGTGAACATAAAGGGATTTATGAGAAAAAGACCCTCAAAACAAAAGCTAGCTTCAGGATATTGCCATGATATGATACTCAATTATAATTAAGCCCACCATGCCTTTTTTTTTTTTTTTAGCGTCACGAGGAAACTTTATTAGAAAAGGGATAACACTCCAGACAGAGTGTGGTCTCCTCTCAGAGGCAGAGAGTGAGAGGGACCCCACCATCTTTTGATATGTTTGGGTTTGGGAGAACTGAAAATAAATAAATAGAAATATACCAAAGTACATAAAAAATTCGTTATTATTGTCTTACCTAGGAATGCTGCCATGTTCATAACTTGACTAAACACACAGCTTGCAGGAGGTTCATCGCCTGCAATACTTGAAAAATATGAAATGTTTTATCATAACTATATTATAATCTATAAACCTCCATAGTGGAATGAATGTTTGTGTCCCTTGAAAATTCATATTTTGAAATCTTAACCCCCAACATGATAGTATTAGGAGGTGTGACCTTTGGGAGGTGATTAGGTCATGAGGGCAGAGCCCTCACGAATGGCGTTAGTGACCTTATAAAAGGGGCCTCTCTCCATCCCCTTTCCACCAAATAAGGAGGATACAGTAAGAAGTTGGCAAACCAGAAGAGGGCTCTCAACAGAACCCAACCATGCTGGCACCCTCTAGCCTCCAGACTGTGAGAAATAAATTTCTTTTGTTTATAAGCCACCCTGTCTGTGGTACGTTTATTTAGCAGCCCACATTGACTGAAACAGAAATTGGTACTGAGAAATGGAGGTACTGCTGTAACAAATACATAAATATATGGAAGTGGCTTTGGAACCGGGTAAAAGGTAGAGGTTGGAAGAGTTTTGAGGTACGTGCTAGAAAAGCCTATATTGCCATAAATGGACTTTTAAAGGCAATTCTGGTGAGAACTCAGAAAGAGGAGCGCTATAGAGAAAGCTTCTGTCTTCTGAGAGAATATCTAAGTAATTCTAAACAGAAGTTGGTAGAAAAATGGGCAGTAAAGGCCATTCTGGTGAGGTCTCAGACGGAAATGAAGAGCATGCTATTGGAAACTGGAGCAAAGGCAGTGCTTGTACAAAGCGGCGAAGCACGTGGCTGAATTGCATTTGTGTTCTCGTGTTTTGTGGGAGGTAGAACTCGGGAGTGAGGACATTATATATTTAGCTGACGAGATTTTTAAGCAAAGTGTTGAAGGAGTGGCTTGGTTCCTCCAGACTTACAGTAAAATGTGAGAAGAGAAAAATGATCTGACGATGGGATTGTGAAGTAAAAAGGAACCAGATCTTAACAATTTGGAAAATTCTCAGTCTACCCATATTGCAAAAAAGTGAGAAAGTCAGAGTGGCTCCATAGTGTAGTGGTTAGCACGTCTGCTTTACACGCAGAAGGTTCTGGGTTCGTGCCCCAGGTGGAGCCATGGCCCATAACCCAGGTGTGCCAGGCCCCGGGTGCATGCCATGAGCCTATAGGAGATGCT